GCAGTTTTGTGAGGGATTAAGGGAGTTAATGGGAAGTAATTATTGTAATTGGAGGGAGAGAGGGGCCATTAAGGGGGCCGGCCACATGACTAGGAGAGAGGGGCTTGGGTTTTAATGCAATGGGGACCACAAACTTAATCACATATTTCACAAAATCTGAAATAAAATCTCAGATTTCTCAATGAGAAATAACTTCCTAATATGAGGGCAATCAATGGGGTCAATTTGAATTTCAAATTTGAAATTGAAATTCAATTAAATTGATTGCCTAAAATTAAGGAGCTAAATTAGGAAACAAGTAATGGCTCATAAAACATTCAAATTTCAAATTCGAAATTCAAAAGAGTGGGGAGGAGGTGGCAGCCGGAAGGGGAAAGGGAGCCGGCGGGCTGGGGAAGGGCTGGCCGCTGGCTGCTGGCCGGCGGTTGGGGCTGCAGGCCGGCGGCCTGGGCAATCCAGGTAGGGGGCGGCGGCAAGAGCAAGGGAGGAGAGAGTGTGGGGGAAATTCTCGGGATCCAAAGCATGAAAATCCAATCTCCCACTAGTAGCTTCAATCCAAATCTCCACAACACGAAGTGATCAAGAGAACTAAAGAAAAATGAAAGACAAGAAAAACCTAGAACTCACAAAGAGATATAGTTTCTCATACGAACTCACTAAGAGATCGAGGAGGGTGAACTCACAAAGAGAACATAAGTGACAAATTTTCATTCATCAAAACTACTATTACATGAGAAAAGGGCCATATATATAGGCCACCAAATGACAAAGAAAACAAAAGACTAAAATGCCCCTTGGGCTACAATAGCGACTAATACCCATAAGGGCAAAAACGGAAACACATAAAAATCAAATAAACTTCTACATAAAATGACTCAAAATAAAACTCATGATCGTGGCCGTCGATCTCCGGCGTCTCCTGATGGTACATGTGTCGAAATCTCTGATGATGTCCTCATCAACTTTATTGATAGCAGCTGTGAAGTTAATGTTTTATAATATTCTTTGGTGTTTCTTAGTACATATTTGTTAATGCCTTGGATATTCTTTATGCTCATCACATGAAAATATGTTAAGATTTCAATTTCTTATGAAGCATTGGTTCAACGGTAATTTATTTCAATATTGTAGGTAGACGCTCATCCTGCATATTGCAGCAAAGGGAAAGCAAAAGACCCAATATTTGGTCTTACAATGGGCCGCGGTTCACAAACCACTGATGATGTTTTCAGGTGAATCCCGTGCTCCGTGGTTATGTGGCTAACAACTTACTTGGAATTGTATTCAAGAAACCTACATGCATGGAATTCTGGTATTTTTAAGAAAGGCATCTATTGTGTTTTAATTTGTGGAAACTTGTAAGCTACAACATTTTGTTTTACTTTTCTGTATACTATCAGATGGTTTTGTGTTGAAGCTGGAGACTCTTCTAACCCTTCGATCATTTTGATTCATGGTTTCCCATCTCAGGTATGGAGCTTTAGGAATTCGTAATAATTCGCTTCCATGATTAAATTCTTATGCTTATGCATGAAATTCGGTCCATGTACGTGATTCTGCCTATATTAATGATTTTCAAATTGTGTTGAAAATCTGAGGTGCTATGTTACGCCGGCCCAGGAGGGGCCAGGTGGACCGGTCCAACCCGGACCGGTCCACACCTACAGGAGGCGGAACCGAGCAAGGCGGGCGGAACCGAGCGGAACGAGCGAATCCGACGGGGGCCAAGGAAGAGTTTTGGGAGGGAAATTTTGAATGCGAGGGGCTGTTTAGACATTTTGTAAAACTCCTTTATAGTTAATTAGGAGGTTAGGAGGAAAGGGGGGATTATCTTGAATTTGAATTGTTTTGAGATATGGGGTTTGGTGTTCTTGGGCTCTTGGCTTTGTCAGAGATCTTTGGAGAGTTTTTTCCTTCCTCTCGAATTGAAGGAAAGTTGTATCTTGCAAGTGCTTTGCATCGTCTAGTGGAATAAAAGTGTTTGCTTTGTTTTCCTACGATTTCTCCTACGTTTCCTCTCAGTTTTTCTCGTATTTTTGCTGTTTTTCTGCTGTGGACAGCAGTTTCCATCGGATCTACTTCAGTTTTGGTGAGAAAGACTTGGGAATCCAAGTGTTTCCTATCATGCTACTAGACAAATTGTAAGTGAGAAATATCAGCCCTCTTGTGGTTTTAATAGGTAATTCTTTAGTATTCTACATCATCATGTCTTGTGGGCCTTCATTGGATGTTGTGTTCTGGTTTTTTTTACAATATACAATTAGCAATATGATAAATTTATAACTCTATTAATTAAATTAGAGTCAACCTTGAGACAATTGTGGTGAAAATTTTGAGTCAGGCTTTTCGCATGTTAGAGCTCTGGAGAGAAGGATACGAATCTGAACTGGGGAATGTTATAAACTATTTTATGTTAGTAGGTTAACAATGAAGATGGAGCCAATGGTATTATATAGGTGGAAAGATAAACTTTTGAGGCGAATATTATCACTGATAGGGTGATTGATTATATGTTAATTTATCAGTGAAGTTACAAACATAGTAATTTCCTTTTCTTAAGAAGCGAAAGAATAAATTTTATTGCAGCATATAATAAGTTTTATGAAGAGGCTAATATAAAAAGTATGGTCATAACATTTTGATGATTAGGAGTTTGGGAACTAAAGTAAGAAAGTGATTTTGACCAAGTTACATGTTTAAGGTATGAAGATATCATCCAAATTTGGAACATCAAGATAGAGAGAGGGGGACATTGACCAATGCAACTAATTCAAAGAAAGGTGAGGAGGGGGCAGTAAGATGGATATGGCTCTTCTTTGAAAAGAGGGGAGTTTGATTCCATTTACTATATTTCTTCTTTAGCTTGTTCTGAGACCTCCGACTGGAGTCATACTTTCCTTGTCAGTTTCCATCCTATTTATGGTCCTTTCCTTGCAATGACCTTGTAGAGAAGAGCTCTCGCTAGTGGTTTTTTGAGAACCTTAGTTTACATGCGTTACCTTGATAGAGAAGTTAACCTTCCTTTTTGTTGTAGATATGGATAACAAATCTTATTGTAGATTTTTTGTGTTATGTTATCACAACAATCAATTCTCGGATGTGATTGGTAATGCCGGGATGCCCCTTTCATCGTTGGAGATATCTGTTGGTGCATGTATGGCATGTGTTCTATTTGAGTGTTGGAGATGGTTTTAATTGTCCAGTGGGAGCCCCAACAATTCACTAATCCTTGCAGTATATAGTTTTCAATGCTTATCTTATCTATCCTAATTTTTATTGGGAATACTTATTTATAGTAGTTCTAACACAAGTTTTTCAATGTTTGATTTGGTTCCTTGGTTGGATTTGCCCTTACCAATTTTTTTGTAACATATGGAGGAGTTTCTTCCTATGTTACTTGAAGAGGGACTTTTTGCATGACGAAATTCCTCCAAAGGTTGAAGGTAGACGCTTTCTCTTTCGGTATTACAGGTAATTTGGGAGCTGTTCAGCTGCTTGATCCATAATGACGGACATTGGTTAATGCATTTTTTATTTCTAATAAAGTTGTTAATTGTTATGCCTTTATTTCTTTGCTACTTCACATACAGAACACCATCTTGATAATTGTCCCTGTTGACCCCTACATCAAAATATGCGCAAAAGAGGCAAAATCGTCGACTTATGTAACACGCACATCGGTGCGGCGCATCACTTGATGGGCTAAATGATCTCCGATTATCAAACGGATGACGCCGTTGCAATTAGGACGTCGAATTTGCCTAAGAGGGAATCCCTCGTAGTCAAATAAGACAAGATCGGTCGAAAGGGACAATCGATACCCCAAATTGATGCGTGACATTGTCCAAACAACGTCCCATCGCAAAACGGACTGCATAGTTGCTTTTGGAACGTCAACAATACTCAAAATCAGCTATAACCTTGCACAACAGAATTCGTCTGGCGAAATCTGCATGAATCATGAGGCAAGGACGCGTAAATTGAGAAAATGCATGTGAATCAAGGTGATTTCGAGCAATTAATTTACTCTTTTCTTTCATTTCAGAATTTAGTAATAATAGTAATAATAACTTATTATTATTAAATTTAATTAATTAATAAGAATCAAATCAAAATCAACTTAAATACGCGTACTATATCATGATACAGCGTACCTGTTTGACAAATTTAGACCTAAACCCATTTCTGTCATTTTAGAATTTAGAACTAAACCCATGATGCTACTATACGCCAGATACCGTGTATCTGTTTGACCACTAGCCTTAATCAAAAGTTCTCTCTTGCTATCGTGAGGGGTAATTAACTATAGGGGCTTGCGCCTACAAGAAACTTGGACTCAGATCATAAAGTCCTCTCAAAATGAGGGCGAAATCTCTGGATAGTGACTTATCTACAAACTCAATATGCCTTCTGAAAATTTGCTCTGGAACCTACCCATTGAAATTCTCCTTGACGACTCGAAGAAAAAAAAAAGGTGGTCCATAGAGATGCAGGGATGTGAATTTTCAGAGCCCACAGTGCCTATGCCCTTTTTCCAGCCTATTTTTTTACTATTATTGAAATTCATCACTTCAAGCCTAATCGGCTCGGGAGACAAATGGGTTTGTCTAAAGCCATCCTTCATCGAAGTCAAAACATCATGGATTGAGTGTTTTGTCTTTTTTTGTTTGTGTTATCTGTTCACTTTCCTCTCTTCTTTTTTTCCTTTATTTGCTTTATATTTTTCTTTTTGTCGGCATGACTTTTCCTTTGTCTTTGTCTTTCATTTTAGGATCAAACTTTAACTTGTTTGCACAAAATATCTAATTCTGGAGCTGTCTTACTAGCCTAGGATCAGGTGATTTTTACTAGAGAATTCCTTTGGTTGGAACTTTTGAGGCGATGCTCCTTAGTTGATGAAGCGCTTGGCAATTGATTATCATGGTCATGGGAGCTCTTGTTTTGCTTAATTCAGCGTTGACTTCATGTGTAGGCTAGTTTTGATGCTCATCTGGCTTCTTTATATATATTTTTATTCTTATAATCTTGCAACAAAAAAAAAAATAGAGGTTGTCTAATAAAATTGCTGCATTGAATGTTTCTTTATAATAATAATATATCTTTTTCTGCCTTTTCTATATATAAAAGAAGGGACATTAATGGTGATATAACTTATAACTTAAGTTGAATTGTTAGAATGGAAAAGTTCTTCAATAACACTGTCTAATAAATGAATGTCATGGCAATCAAAAGGTAAATTGCATTATATGATATTGGTAACAAATTGCAAGAAAGATGACAATCTTAAAATATATGTGATAAAAGCAAGAAGGATAGGGTGAAAGATTGTATTAGAGATGATGGAGTAACACCTATTTTAGTTTTGGAATAGACTTAATGGTTTGGTTATGTACAAAAAGAGTAGAAGATAAACCAGAAAGGTAAAATAGAATTAATGAAAGGCACATAAAGCAAAGGAACTGATGAAAGTTTGTATGAATTAAAGTTATTAATAATAACATATAAAATAAAATTAACACCACATGCTGCACTTAATATACATTAATGAAGAAAGATTTATAAAACTGACCACAAAAAGTTTGATTAAGGTTAATGGTGATGATGTGTATGATGATAACAAAATCAGCCTTATTTTCAAGAGAAGATCTCATTGTGAAGCCAAAAACATTTATGGTTCATCGAGATCTTAGCCTTCCTGTTAAACAGTTTTTTGAAATTTCATCCATCCATAAAGGCATATACAATTTCATACTTAGCATTGCATGCATCTCAATTTTGTTAAGTATGCTGTATGCATATAACCCTATTTGGTTCTTTTTGCTCATCATCTACTTGTTTAGTAATTTCACATGCGCAATGCATTAAATAATACATAAATTGAGAAGAAAGATTCAGAAAGTTGACCCAAACATTTAGCATAAGACTAATATGATCATTATTTATATGTAGCTTATGCAGCTGTTCTTAAAGGAGCTTCAGTTGTCCCTTTTAAGTTGATTCACTCATCTCAGATGATGGAATCAAGAAATTATTTTTGCTGAGGGTTTTTTAATTTCTTGCTAACAGGCATATTCATTTCGCAAAGTTCTTCCTGTTCTCTCTGAAGAATATCACGCCATTGCTTTTGATTGGCTCGGTACAGCTGCCAACACATTTAATTTATTAGGAAATTGTGCCTTATGTTTTTATTGATGGAAATTCAAATTATAAAATGGTAAATGCTTTAATCATTCGATGTTTTATGTATGATTATTTTGGAATTTATTAGTTAAGATATTGCTATGTGCATTAATGCATTTTTCTCACCTTAGGAAGTTGGCTTCCTTTTGTACTGTTATGGGAAATGGCATTATTATCATTTAAATATCTTGAACTTTTCGGAAACACTAATACTAATGTTGTTGTTTCAAATGCATAATTGAGATATATATAAGCCTCTGTTGAACCCCAGAGAAGTAAAGTATTTAATAGTTGTGATGCCACCTTAAATTACTATATATACTCATTAAATGGATATAAGGGAAGATAGACTTATGTTATTTTACCTGTTGGCATCAGCTTGGAACTTCTTTTATCTAAGCAATATGGAACTGTTCAATTTCTGCATAATGAATGTTAATATTACCTACTTATGGCAGAAAATTAATTCTATTTCCAGGTTTTGGGTTTTCTGATAAACCTCAACCAAGATATGGCTTCGATTATACCCTTGATGGTAAGGATTTCAGAAATAGATAAGTTTGTTACCTATAGAATACACATATAAATCCTCATGATAAGCATTTTGATGTATTATAGAGTATGTTTCATCTTTGGGATCTCTTATTGATGAGCTCAAAGCAGATAATCTATCCCTTGTTGTACAGGTATTTTGAAACATTTCTATGCCGCTTCAGTATATTTACAGCAAACTTTGTCCGTTCATCAATGACAAATTGAATGAACATGTTTTCATTGCAGGGGTATTTTTCTCCTGTTGTAGTCAAATATGCCAGTTATCATCAAGAGAAGATCAGGAATCTTATACTTGTCAATCCCCCAGTAAGCAATTCAAAGGATTTGAGCCTTCTATTTTCTTGATCATCTTGCGTGATTTCTAGATTTTTGTTCTTACCTTGGTAATCCAAAGTTATTTCTACAATTGTCAATTTTAAATTTATATCCACTAGCTATCACAATATTTCACTTTTTCAAAATCTTTAAAATGTATTTGTGCTCTTGCAAAAGCTGACAGAAGAACATGCAAATTTGCCACCAAACCTTTCAATGTTCAGCACCTTCTTGCTGGGTGAGATATTTTCCCAGGTTAGATGTGATTTTTGAATATATTTAGTAAGATATTTTATTGAATATATAATTATATGAAGATACTGGGCTATCAAATTGATGTTAAATTTATTTCCACTTTAGGATCCTCTTAGAGCCAGTGATAAAGCTCTGACCAGCTGTGGGCCATACGTGATGAAGGAGGAAGATGCAATGGTTTATAGAAGGCCATACCTTACATCTGGTTCTTCAGGTTTTGCACTAAACGCAGTCAGCAAAGCGATGAAGAAAGATCTCAAGGTAGCCCACTTTTCCTGATAATATGCCAATGTTGTTTAGCGTTTTAGGTTTTGCACTTAGATTGATTAATTTTGAATCAAATAGGCTTAATTATAATAATTACTTGTATATTCATTATATATTTTATGTTTGGTTCTCAATTATTTTCTTCTTTTTTTTAATGCATACAAAAAATAAATAGATGATAAAAAATTTATTTTATTTAATTCAAAACAAAAACAGAACAAAATAAAAAAAATGTAAAAAGAAAAGAAGTTCAAATAAGGCCTAAGTTTTTCTGGTGCTGTCTACTTCTATAATTTGACTTGATATAAGGGCACTTCCAGTAGGAACTGGTTCACCTCCAGTTATTTCTTGAATTGAAAATTAGGAGATCACCCCATTTGCCAATCTCATTCATTCATTCTCATCAAACGGTTGGGACTACGGAACCTTAGCAATTTTTCTCCCAATAGAATATCCTGGTATTGGTTTTCTTCCAAGAAAATGATCAAAATGGTCATAAAAAGGGATATTTTTGGTAATGACATTAAATTTTCAGGTTAATTGTGTTAAATCAAGGGACATTTTAGTTATTTTTTAATTAAATTATTTGTTAAATGTAATTTTCAAGTAATAGTAATTTAAAAAAATATATATTAAACATTTCCTTAATAAAAAATATTAATAATTCTAATTTTAATTTAAAAAGTAATTAATAATTATAGTTTTAATTTATGATCATTATAGACTAGAATTATTAAAAAAAATTTTAATTAAAAATATATTGAATATTTTTTTTAAATACTATTACTTAAAAAATATATTTAATAAATAATTTAATTAAAAAATGACTAAAATTCTCCTTTTTTTAATACCATTAACTCCAAAATTTGATGTTAGGACAAAAAAGTCCCATTTTTAAGGAGTTGAGGGACCAAATTGGTTCCTCAAAAGACTTGAGAATCCTTTAGTCTCTCACAAAGAGTTGATGGATCATTTTGGTCCTTTTCTCATTTTCTTCCCATCCTGTCAAGTTCATCTACTTGGTGTGCCTGCCACTGACATTCCTTCATGCCCCATATTTGTCTTCTCTATTGGACCCAACCTTCTTTTAAACAAGCCCTCCCCACTTTATGGAACCCATCTGCTCCAGCGTGGAGTTGATGATCAGTAGAGGATGACAAGAAGACTATTGGTGATACCAACAAGAAGTGCCACTCATGATTAACTGACAAGTAAATAGTAACAAATTTAAGTGTAGTGCATGCTGATGCTTGTAATTTTTTTCTGAAATGATATTTGAGTTGTATTTTTTTATCAAGTCCTTTACTGTTGTCGCATAATTGATTTTCTTAGAGAATTAGACACAATGTGACATTATACATAGCTTGTTTTCTAATGGATACAAATTGTTGATGCCTGAAAAAAAAATTATTTGTTAATATTCTGATTTCGCTGTATTGATTTATTGTAACAGCGTTATGTTGAATACATGAGAGAAATAATAGCTAGCAGCTCCTGGAAAATTAACACTGCAGTGTGTTGGGGTTTAAGAGATCGGTGGTTGAGCTATAAAGGCATTGAAGATTTCTGCAAGCCCTTAAATCTTAAATTAGTAGAACTGCCAAAGGTTTCTTCAGTTGCCTTGCAATCTTATCCTTTTAGAATTTCATCTAGTAATTAATAATTTATCTGATTATGTTTTGTGGTGAAGAAGTAGCTTTTGATCTTTGTTTTGATATAAGCTGATCTAGGTGGTTTGTATGCGTCCTATAAACAGCTCCAAGGATCAATGTACTAGCTATTGAATATGCTTGAAGGATGAAAATTGAATGAATCATCCGGCAAAAACTGGCCTATAACACAAATCAGAATCCATTTGAGGGAAATCCGTTTGGAGGTCAAAAAATTTAGAATCAAATCCCAAGAACACCTTTCGGCCATAAAGGAGAAATAATACCAAAGTAACTAATGAAATACTTATTACAAAAATCAATTCAATGCTAATATGAGTGTCATCATGAAGAGGCAACCGTTCATATTCATTCACTATCTAAATATTAAAGGGGACAATGGCTTGTACGGCGATGATTCTAAAGATATAATTCTCTTAAAACAAGGGATGGACGAGAAGTGACATTTATGAATAATACAATAAAATGATTATAGAGATTGATAATATTGACATGGGTTCCCATTATTCATATAAAATATCCTCTTAGGAGATGGTTTAAGACATAATCAACCATGCATTAGTCAATTATGTGACATATACTTGGAAATTATAGTTTCATCTTCAAAATGCCCTTTTGAAATTCAATGATGAAGTTGCGTTAGAAGGATTTAGACATTAAAATGTTTACTTGACATTGATCATTTATGTAATTGTAATATTAAATGATTGAAAATTAGTCTAGGTGACTATTGATTGTGGTATAGGAGATTGTATCATGCTAAAATGCACATACTAAAATGATAAGTAAATTAAAATTAGTTGTAGGTGATTGAACAAGATTTATATGGGTTAGACTTTTAAAGTTTTCTAAATTTGATTAAAAAATATATATATAAATTCAACGAGTAAAAGCTCAAAATAGTTCCCGACTATTGATAAATATTAAATTTAGTTCCAGAGTTTCACATCGCTCCAATTTAGTCCCTCAACTATTAAAAATTGAGTATCCCAAAGTCTAAAATAAGAGTTAAAGTTAACTCTGAAGTTAAATATGAAGAATATTTTAGGTATATTTTTTTAAAGCAAAATCTAACAATTAAATTAGATTTTATATGGCTTAAAAAGCAATTTAGTAAGACTTAGTTTAAATCATTACTAAATTTTGATTAAATCTTGCAACTATATATATATATATATATATATATTTCATATCTTATGTGATTATCAACAGTAGAATGAATCTGATGCAAGTGTATTTTCATTTTAACTTGATTTGCAGGCTGGCCATCATGTACAAGAAGATTCTGGAGAAGAGCTTGGGACAATAATAGCCGAAATCATAGGCAAAAGGAATGTAAATTTTTAGCCCTGTACCCGACACATTCTTTTCTTGTATCAAATGAAAGAAAAGGAGATGATTACCAAGACATCCGTAGTAAAATTTCATCATCAATCCCTTTTTTTATCTTATACAGTAGTCACACAGAAATGCAAAGTATAATTTGCCTATCTGCAAAAACATGTTTTATATCTAACGAGTTTCACTGCTTGTGAGTTGATTTTTGGATTGGCAAATAAATCCAAGCAATAGGGGAAAACACATTAGCATGAGCTTGTGACTTAGAACATTAAGGCTCTGTTTGGTAAACTTGTTTTTGTATTCTGTAGCACAAGTTGATATGCCTAATTTTGTCAATCTTCCATTGATCTTTTGATTTTCACTGTTATTTCCCAGATTTTTTTCTTTTGACAGGCATTCTCTATATAGTTGTACTCTATAGTGTGCTTTTTAACAGTTGATTGTATTCAGTCTCCTTAAAAAAATAGGTATTTATTAAGCTTTAAAGTGGCAAAGGATCAACCTTATTTCTTGAATCAGATGTCTCTATCAAAAAAATTATGGAAAATTTTTAAAATTTTCTATAACATTCTACAAGTTCGTAGGATTTTCCGGCAACAACAATATCATTGAATATGTTGCATGTAATGGTGGTGATTGTGTTGCCCATTTCCACTTGATGTTTGAACAATTCTCATACAAGACCATCCTACTTTCACCGTTTATAATGATTGTGATCATGCAGTGTCCACCGCATAAAGACCAGATGATATTCACCTCTTACTCTCAACTTTCCCACCATAAAGGTATTAAAATTAGATGCATTCCATATGATAATGCCGATCATATTGCTTATCACCATTTAAAGATCTAATGAGACTCGTTTTGTGTATGCAACATTTTCTTTGTTGTGGTAATGACACACAAAATGTCAATAATCACATCACTTACCACTACTAAAAGATTGAATGACACTAGTCTTTTGTGCATGACCATCCTACTTTTTATGATGACAACAATGGATGTGTCATATATAACAATGATGATCACATCACTTGTCATCACTTAAAAGAATGAACAATCCTCATCTCCCATTCATGAACTTCCTATCATCATGCAAAGTATGCCTCATGTGATATCTTTGATATTTATTGCAAGCTAACTTGATGAAATCATTTTTTTTATTTGATAGGAGGATCAAGTTTTAAGAACATTCTAGATCCTCCAAACTCCATATCCATCACCATTCCCAATGAACTATGTCATCTTCAATGAACTTTCTATGATTGATTGGACCATATATGAGCATCTTCCCGACTATCACTCAATTACAACTCTTATGCATTATTGTCCATCGTAGCAGTAATTAAGACTATTGTGATCCCTACAATTATCCTCTTCCAAGCTTTAATTGTCACTTCCACGAGTATGCCACAACCCTCTCAACCAACTTGGACCACCTCTTTTGATCTAGTCATTGTTATTAATACATCATCAAAAAATTATTTTGATCGGGCACAAATCTCAAGGAAAAATTAAGTTGAAAACTTCTAAAATTAAATTTGGGTTCTGATAGGAAACACTTGGATTTCCAAGTGTTTCTCACCAAGATCAAGTAGATCCAAGGAAAAACTGCTGTCCACAGCAGAAAAACAGTCAAAATACAAGAAGAATCTGAGATGAAAGCGTAGGAAAACGATGCAAACACTTTTATTTCGATAACGGAAGAAAAGCACTTGCAAGATACAACTTTCCTTCAATTCGAGAGGAAGGAAAAAACTCTCCAAAAGATCTCCGGCGAAGCCAAGAGCCCAAGACACCAAAACCTAGATCTCAAAACAATTCAAATTCAAGATGATCTCTCTTTCCCCCCTAATCTCCTAATTATACAAATTAATCATAAAGGACCATAATGGACTTCCTAAAACAGCCCCTCATTCAAAATTCTCCCTCCCAAAATTAATTTCAGCAACCGTGGGGTCCACAGGGGGTTCCGCCCCTTTTTGCTGTTTCCGCCTGGAATAGCATCGGACCGGTCCAGAAGGGACCGGTCCCCTCGTAACAGGTTCATCTAAACTTCGAACTGAATGTCTTGAGAATATGAATCCTATGACACCAAATTCGACTCAATCTAAGCCCAAATGAGTCCAAATCAAGGAACCGAAGCGTCATTGGAAGGTTTAAACCACAAATTGGATTACCAAACGGTTTCCAAATGTGACATACTTATAGTCAAATCGAGCGGTTCGGCGAGACGAATCCAATGAGCTCAAGATCATGGAACTTCGACATCATTAATAACTTCAAATGTCTAGTGAATGGTCAATGATCAAGGGATTCAACATTGACAGACTATCCAAACTACTCATTTACCCTTGATTTTCCTCCTATTTACGGGTCATGCTACTCTATAAAATCTATAAATAGACCCCTCCTTGAAAAGGTACTCTTAAGCCTAAGGAAACAAGAGAGATCGAAGATTGCTCTAGCCTCCTTGCCTCTTAGACCACCGCACGGAGTCCCGTTGGACCACCACTTGACGCCCGGAGTCATGTCGGATTACCACCTGACGCCCGGTGTATCGTCGATCAACCACGTGATACTGGAGTATCGTCGAACCACCACGTGTTGCCAGAGTTCCACCGGACCACCATGTGATGTCGAAGTTCCGCCAGACTACCATGTGTTGTCGGAGTTCCGCCGGACCACCACCTGACACCCAGAGTTCCGCCAAATCACCACCTGATACTCGGAGTTTTGACGAACCACTGCCCAACGCTGGAGTTCTGTCAGACCACTGTCAGACATTAAAGTTCTGTCAAACCAACTCTGAATGTCGAAGTTCCGCCAAACCATCACCGAACTACCAATTGACGCTCGAACTTCCAAGTAACGTCGGACTTCCACCATACCACCAAGTGACGTCAAACTTTCATCCCTGTTTTTCACTAGTTTTCAACCATACGGTTGATATTTGTAATCTAATCGCCCGCAAGGATGAGTCAATCCACTGTAAAATACTAGTGGAATCATTTCAGACTGGGTCAGGCCTTGTTGTTTTTCTCATTTTCAGGGTTTTCTACATAAAAGTCTTGTGTTATCTGTGTGTGAGCTATATATTTTCTACCATGTTAAGACGTAGTATTATAACTCTATCGCCGCGTATATTCTACCCCGCAACAGTTACATTCATAAAACAATAATAATTGCGACTTAGCATCTCAATCAAAGATGCTCTTTCCAACATTTGATAGCTCATTACATAATATTATATTAATGAGTTTGAGGAAGGCCCAATATCTTCTATTTTGTTTACAAATAATAAAATTTATTTAATTATATAAAATTTATGATTTTTCACTTTTTGATTTTTTAATGTAAAATTAGCATATCAAATTCTTTATTTACCTAAATCGTGGATATAAGATTATAAAAAACTAGGGAATAACACATCAATCCTAACTCTTCCAACTTAATTTCCACATTTAATAAATATATATTTTATAAAAAAAATCTTCTTAATCAATTAAAGTATTACAATCTTTACATGAAGGTAGGATAACCAACTTAGAAGTTAGAACGGACCGTCCGGTCCAGCTAAACCGGTTATCCATGCACCCTATCCATAACCGGTTAGCTTGGCAAATGCGCTCGTCTGTTCTCATTTTCCACTGTGCCGTCAGCCACGGCATGACTCTCTTCCTACGGCCGCCGCTTCTGGTCACCGCCCGCCTAGCTATCAGCCACCCGCCATACCTACCACAGAAGGTGGAGGCGAAAGGCGTAATAGCGGCTTCTTGCCCCTCGCTTGCTCACGAGAAGCCTAGCTTCAACCTCGAGTCTGTATCATCTTCTTCATTGACCGCCGCCACTGCGCTCCAGTGTCTACATTTCCAATCGTATGAGCGCACTTTGGCATGACTTCTAGTTTCTTTTGTTTTTAAATTTTCAATTTTATTTTCACTTTAGGCCTCATTTGGTTGCTTATAGATGAAAATCGTGTTTTTGAAGGATTTTGAAGGGTTTTTTTTTTTTTTTTAAGATTAAGATTTATTTCTAGATATGTCCCGCCAAGTAAATTCATCTTTTTTTCAAAATATGCTTCTAAGTTTGAACAACCAAATACGCTCGGAATGATCAGGTGCTCGGGGTGCTCGCAGGAATGGGATTTGGACCAGCCACACATAGTTACAGAAGCCAAAAAATTCTTTAAGGAACTCGGCATCTCTGATTTGAACTTCGAGAGTGGAATGTTGGTGCGGATATATCTTTATTTCGGAGTCAAATTTTGATTTCTGAACTCAAGGTTGCTTTGAATTCGTGAAAAAAATTTTGTTTTTGTGGTTTGTGTGTGGCGGTCTTAAATTCTGACTGTTTGTCATGTTAGATTGTGGACTCATTTCCCAGAGTTATCATTATCAACATTAGTCTTATCCTGAAGTCATCACTGAACAAATTTTTTTTTTATTTCAAATGAAGCATAAGTCTTAATTCAAATTTTGAAGCTTGCAAATATTGTTATCAACCAAAGATGCTATTGAAGTTCGGATTTTGTAATTTCAACAAAATACTCAGGAAAGATGGTACAACATATAAACTGGTAACAATAGGATTTCATTTCTTTTTTCTTTTCCATGATAAAGAGGTGAAAGAAGCAATACAAATTTTCTTCCCTGCTTAGGAAAGTTGCACTTTAGCCTTCTTTATTTAAATAAACTGCTTGTGATTTTTTTATAACTTGATGGACATGGAGAATTTATTCTGTTCCAATTGCTCTTAATGTCGTGCCAGAGAAACTGGAGTTTTGGTCCTTTTGGGTGAAATGCATCTAAACGAATGATGTTTTTCTATCATATTGGATATGGTTGCAACTCGTGTTAATTTGTTTAAAATGTAAGAATTATATATGGTAGATTGGTAGCCGCTCAAGTTGGTGGTTTGTTTTAAAGCTTAATGTGCATATTCTTATTAATTAAAATTCAATTACCAATTATCTCCTATAGATGGGTATTAAGTATTAGAAATTTGTTATTCTTTGTCCAGTGCTTTTGGATGATTTATTGGTATAGTTAGATGTTAAAAAAGTAAGCATGTGCGGTGTTATTGAGAATAAGTTGTTGTATTTTGAAATTTCCTGTATATATATGCTTTTCCCGTCACATCTTTTTCACCTAAATGCCTCTGTTCTCTTGGCAATTTTGAGAGTTGATTTAGGCGGAATGGAGATGTCGAGCTAAGTTGGCTGTTCGAGGAACATCAGAAAGGCCATTAATAGGGTTATACGAAGAGGGAACACATAACGTTGTTGATATTCCTTTGTGCAGAGGTTGTCTAGTATGATCTTGACCCAGTCATCTAATTTTATAATTAGGCTTCTGTTTTATCTCTCGCATGATAATTTGTACAAGTAACATATGAAGAAAAAACTGTTTTTTTTTTCTTTTGTTGTTTTTCAATACTCATTTTTTTATGAAGAAACATATTCATGCAATCCAACAAAAAAAATGTGAGCTTGATTTCATTTATTATTTTTTGGCATCTCTATATTACCGTTGAATTAGTTGTTATGATTCTACCATCACTTACATTGATTTATTATGCAGCACACCACCCAAACATTAATGTTGCAGTTAACCTTTTAAAACAAGGTACTCTTTTGCACACGTGTTTTCTTATGAACCTTTTTGTATGAGTTTGTGTGCCTTCATTTCTAATTATTTCATGGTGCTGCCCTCTTTTTTGTTAGGTATTTCTGCATTAAATATTCAACCTTATGATGAGGACCTAGGAACTGGTGAACTGCGTTATGTTCAGGTTTGTATTTTCGTTATGCTTGTGCGAACTTGAAGTTGTGCACATGTGAAAATCAGCTGGAAGATATTGTTCTATTCTACTAGTGACATGAGATGCACTTGTTCTACTATTTATGAGCATGATTGAAGTAGTACAAAACATGCTTCAAGATTATTCTAGCATTTTAGGTTATTTTTAGGTCTTAATTTCAATTTTAAATCTATTTAACTTTAAAATTATATTTCTTTTGAACTAGATAGAATTTTTAGCTGTTATATAGATTTACAACTACAACAACAACAGCAACATCAAGCTTTTATCCCACTATGTGAGGTCGGCTATATAAATCCTTTTTCTCCGTTGTGCCCTGTTAAAAGTTAAATTTTCATTTAAATCTAATAAAGAAAGGTCATTTCTAATATTTTCTAACCAAGTCTTTTTGAGTCTACCTCTATCTTTCTGAACATAAGTCAAATATAATACATCTACTCTCTTAATCGGGTCATCGGAAAGCAAACCATCTAAGGCGACTCTCTCTTATCTTGTTTACAACTAGAGCTACTCCACCTTTTCACGTATATGCTCATTTCGTATCCTATCTCTAAGAGCAAAGCCACTCATCCACTTGAGCATCCTCATCTTTGTAACACTTAACTTAATATTATGCTTCTCTTTTAATGGCCAATATAGCAGTTATATAGATTTAAATGTAAATTAATTTTATTTATCTTGTAACGCCAACAACAACATAACAACAACATGTCTTTATCCCACTATATCTTGTAATACCATTTCTATAAATATGTGCTTTATGGCTTCTAATTGAATAATGAATTATGAATCAAATTTTAAAAGTTTCTTTCATCATTATTTAAATCTATTTAACTTTAGAATTATATTTATTTTGAATTAGATAGAATTTTAAGGAGTTATCCAGATTTAATTTAAATTAAGTTTATTTTATCTTGAAACCCTGTTTCTGTAAATAGAAACTTGTATGAAATTGGATCTTTATAAGCTGTAGGGAATTTGGATCAACGGATGTCTCTTTTCTCTTTATTTTCTCCCCTCTCCTCTCCCTTCTTCTGTTATCGGTTTTTCACTCTCAAAATTTTTATTTAGCATCTTTATGCTTTCAGTGTCATGGCCTCCCACTCTTAGATCTCCTTAAAATGATCTATTATCAAATTGATTATAAAATTTTTATGGAAAATATGCAATTTGCAGTATTCAGGTGATATGACATTTTTATTTATAAAGTTTAGAATGTAATGTTAATTAATTAATGCTATTTATTCTGCAATGTTCTCCTAAATCTATCTATGTCATCCTATTGATCTGTGTTTCATTAAATATTGTATCTTGTTGTTCCATAGTTAACGGGGCAGTTTAGTGGCCCAAAAGAGGAAACATAATCGAATTTTTATTTTATTTTCATTTGCCATAGGTGAATTATTCTGTTAAATCCAACTCTGATTATTTCAGATTGCAGTGACGACATATAACACATCCCTTCCAGCAGCAGAGAGATATCAAAATGGTTGGTAACATTTTTAGTTTATGATGTTACTATTGTACACCAGTTCATGAGATGTATTAGGTTATTGTATCTGAATTTTAACTATATGGTAACAGGAAAAGTGCAGGTATCACTGGTTTGGAATTCCAGAAATGAGCAGTCAGAGAGTTATAAAAAGCTGAATGCATTGGCTGAGGTATGTTGCTCTGCTGAACGATAAGGCTTGAGAATAGTGTGCTCTTGTTATTGCACATTAGATGCAAATAGTATCTGCATCTGCTATTTTGCGTGGTTTCATTTCTTGTTTGGTTTCTAAGCCAAGTTAACGTGGATTCTGTTTGGCATTTTGCAGTTTTTATGGAGAAATGCGGGACCAAAAAGTAACAGTCATTTATTTCACTCCATATGGGTTAACTTTCAGACATCATCAAGCAATGTGAGATAAGTTTTTTATGATAACTTTGCATTGCATTATGCCACAAGTACATAACATGAATTATTCATGCTATTGCCATATATATTTATTGTCAGCAGGTTCTGTTGACTTGCTGGCTCTTTATGCATCTTCAAGCATTTTTTTTTTCTTTGAAACTTTATTTATAAGCGTGAGCGAAGGTGCATTTTATTTGTTTTTTTTTTTTAAAAGCAACTGCCACATTACAGGGTATTGGTCTGACAAACCATCTTCCCGTAGTTATAGAATAAGCATTAGAAATTTCATAATGACCTTGCCTACTTTGCAGGCCAACCGTAGGAGCTAAGTCATTCTTGCGGAGGTAATATTTTGCCTATTTCTATGTTGTGTTTTAGGTACAATCACCTAGTAATTTTCCAACTTAAAAGCTCAGACTAACAAATTTTGAAGTTAGGGTGGAAAATGTTAAAGCCTCTCTCTTTCAGATTACAAATTGAAGAACAAATAGGAAGAAAAAAAGTTGCAAGATAAAGTTGAAAGGTGTTAATAACATCTGAAAGTTGTTATGTTGTGAAGCCTATTTTATTCCCATTCAAATCAAAATGTGCTATGTAAATTTAGTTGCAGTATTCAATATTTTTGGATTATTTCATCAAGGGATTTTGGGCATTTTAATATGTTTTTGACTGCCCTTGTTTTTTATTTATAAAGAGGGAGGCATTGCCTTTATATTTTATCATAGGAATCAGAGTTGTATTTTTCTTCGTAATCAAATTATTATGAAATTACAACAACAACAACATGATGTTACCATCAATTTGATGATCCTTTATAAAATTCTGTGGCTTTGAATTGTACTGAAGTAATATTATTGATTCTTATTCTTCTGAGGGATTTAAGCATATTCAGATTTAGAAGAAATCCCATGCCAGCTGCCATGAATTGTCTTTTAGATCTTTACTTTTATTCAATACACCATTTGCATTTAAGGAGAGAAATTTGAGATAATCTATATCATATTAAATGACTTCAGTTTGTTATTTTCATGTAAAACTCATATATATGTACAGATTATCTTTGGAAATAGGTGGAGGCTTCTGCTCGGGGAAAGAGATTTCTGGGAACATATTGGAGGTATTGATGTTTGCCTGGATCCTTGTAGCTTTGGCCAGGCAAATACACAGGTAAACATAAAGCTGTGTAAGATGTGTTTCGCATACTCTGCAAAAAGGGGAAAAAAATCTTAATCATAAACTTTACCATAATGCAAATGCATATGCAAGCTAATCTGTCAGTGCAGAAAGAACTTAAATGTTACATTTTGTAGTTCTTCTTATCGAAACTAATCGAAGTTAGCTGTCATGATTTCAGATAGTTTTTGAATAATAATATTAATAGGCTGGATATGTTAAAAATCATTATCCCTATGTATTCACCAAGTGATTTGACATCCATAAAACTTGGAAAGAGGCGCTCTTTGTCAATTATATAATCAAGTTCTAAAACTAATGAATTTGCTCCTGTTTCTATACGTTATGAATTTTTTCTTGTCAACTATCTATTTTTCTTCAATCCTAGTTTTTGGCATAAAGTAATGTCCATTTAGCACTGCAAAATGCATTATATTCTTTTGCATGTAAAGACATCAGGTTGGTTAAGTTTTGGCCCAAGCCAGGAATTGGCTCTTGTCTTGAATCCAAAATTTCCCAAGTTTATTTATGAATATGTTATTGTGTTAGCGATCAATATTTTTCAGGAGAACCAAACAATAGGAATATGCTAAATTTAGTTTAGACCAGTTCTTTAGTCACTCGTACTACATACTTATAATTATAGATGACTATATACCCTTTTTTGGAAGATTAAATGCATTGTTAGGAGACATGTATATATATATATATATATATAAAAGATGGACTTCTATTAGGAGGAGAGCGATTATTCTCCACATTTTTTTTGCGTCCATGGCTTTACATAATCTTCAAACTCAAGATTGCATCATTGATTGTGATCTATACCATGACATTACTTTTCGATCAAGTTTTATCAATTTTTATAATAATTTAATCCTTCACAAAATGATCATAGTATGAGGATGCATAGAAGCGTTTTTAAAAGTCAAGTTTTACTCATATACTTCGGCAAGTAAAACCATCCAATATATGCTAAATATCATCATGAACACATGTAGTTAATTCCAACCCATTTAGAAATTCTACACTTTGAAATTACAATTAACTTCTCATACAATCAAGCCTTGAAATCTTGCATGCCACTAGTTTTAATAATTTTGAAGAGAATGGACTATTTTGGATATCATTAGAAGATTATAACATCAAAATCTAAATTGGTAATAAAATGGTAATTGTTCTCCTAAGATGAGCTGGACCTTCCTCTTTTGAATTTATCAGAACCACAACCAACCCGGTTAAGATGTAAATCCACCAAACTAGCTTGATTTGTTCGGTTCAGTTTATTTGGTTATTGCAGGCAAATACTTTCAGTTCACACTGTTTTGTGAAGTTATAAACTGCTTTTTGAAGTATTTCTTTTCCTAAAAAGCTTAGTCTTGCTTATTTCTCTATGATTTTTCCTAATAAATGCTTGCGATTCTTCAGCTGTATCTATCTCTAATTGTACTAAATTTCTTTGCTCATCTTTCCAGGCTTTTAATTCCTTGTTAAGGAAACTGCAGAAATATGTTCCATATGGATCATCTGTTGTTGATTTATATGCAGGAGCAGGTGTCATTGGACTATCTGTAGCTGCCACCAGGAAATGTAGGCAAGGAACAAGACTGCTTTGACTTGTGCACATAAAATATTCTTGAATTTTTTACACTGCAAACAAATCCTAGTGATAACTTAGATTTGTTGTTTTGCAGGTCCCTGAGATGTGTTGAGATAAACAAAGAGTCAAAATTATCTTTTGAAAAATCATTAAGCCGTTTTCCGAAACATATAGATTGTAGTGTACATTGGCATAATACAGATGCATCAATTGTACGTGCCACGTGCTAAATTAATTTTCATTTTTAAAATTAGGCTCACATTCTTTGATTTTAAACCACCCTTAAACCGAGGTTTTGAACTTTACCATAAAGGCATAAATTGCTGCAGGAACCTCTTCACTGGTTGAAAGGGTCAAATGTTGTTATTGTGGATCCCCCAAGAAAAGGAGTTGAGCAATCTCTACTAGACGCGTTAAGGGAAATTTCTAAATGTAAAGATTCCAAAGTACCTAAGAGGTAAATTTCCATGAATGATCTTTTCTATTGATGTATGTTCCATTTCATTTTATTTTTATACAATGTTTATGTTCAGTGATTATTAAGGCTAATAAGAGTGTTGGATGTAATCTCATATTGGATAATTAAAAACATATTTATATAGAAATACCAAAAGATATGAATGTGATCGAGAGGTTAGTGCAGTTTTTGGCTTCCATTGACCTTGGTGCTTTTCAGCTATAATCGAGAAAGGTATCACTTGGTTGGGGGAGCTCTTGCACACCTAATTGTATTAATAAGCCTCTATTTGATGAGGTGTGATGGTTGATGCTAAGATCTCTCAATCAAGATTGAGATTGGTTGAGGTATATGAGAGAGAGTTGTGTTTTGTCTGGCATTGGGTGATTAAAAATTATGTTGTAAAAATAATGTGGTTGGCCTTCACTTATAGGCTTTACTTTTTGGATTGAAAATTTAATAGTACACTAGTATATCTTGTCATTTTTGGTCCCCCATTAGGTCCGGACTCCTTAAAATAAGGATTCAAGGTCTTCAATTTTTTGTGTTGGATCAGCACACTGTTAGACCGGTTCTCTGTGAACCGGTCCAGAACCAGCGGCATAACCAGCCACTGGTTTATAGGAGGCGGAGACCTCTGCCTCCTTTAAAATGAAATTGCTTAATATGTGCGGGCCCCACTTCTCCAAAGGATTTGAATGTTCAAACGGAGTGGGGAGATGAGTTTTGGGAGGGAAATTAAATTAGGAAATATCTTGTATTAAAGGGGATGAGGGAATTAGGGAGTTTTTTTATGTTATGTTTGATTGCAATTAGGGTTTTCTTGAAGGCTTGGGCTCTAGAACGAATTCTAGAGATTGGGAGAGTGCGATCCTCCTCTCGAATAGAGGATCTTTGTATCTTTGCAAGTTTTCTTTCATCTACTAGTAAAGTACAAGTGTTTGGGCGAGTTTTTCTCCATTTTCCTCTCAGGTTTTCTCTGTTTTGGTCCAGAATTTACTGTTTTCCTGCTGTAAACAGCAGAAATTATCACGATTTGCTTCAGACTTTGATTAGGAACTACTTGAAATCAAGTATTTCCTATCAAATTGGTATCAGAGCATCGTTTTGGGACCACCGGCGGCTGAAATTCTGAAATTTCAGCAAGGAATTTTCTTCCGCAAGAGGAATTCTCAACAACCGTGGGAGAAAAGATGGCCTGAAGGAAGGTAGAAGTTCTGGAGGGAGAAATCGGCCAACGGAAGACCAATTTGGAAGAAAGAACCGTTGAATTTCAAAATCAATTCGCATCCATCCATGAAAAGATGGACGGGAGGTTCACGACCCTGGAGGAAATGATGAAGAAGATGTTGGAGGGCAAGCCCAACCCGACGACATCGGAAGCAAGGGAAGCCACCGGCGACAATGGGAGATACGGGAACCCGAACCCATTGAGGGGGAGGGACACTACGGAAGTGGAGATCCTTGACGGGAATGATGGAATGCCTCCGCTAGAACCACTTTCTAGGGAGGAGATGAGCATGGGCTATGAGAGAAGGG